AGTGTGTGTGTGTGTGTGTGTGTGTGTGTGTGTGTGTGTGCATGTGTGTGCATGTTGCTGAGGAAAGTAATTCGGGTCATCATACACTTTTAAGTCACATCTGTTTTTCTTGCTGTTTTCCCGTCTGTTGCTGTTGGCAGTCTGGGGAAATTGACATTGTTAACAACACCACCAAGGACACCTGCCGCCTCAAATTCTCCCCCTACAGCTACTTCTCCAGAGATGTCCCACGTAAAGTAAGTCTGTTGTACTGTCCGTTTTGTAAAGAGTCATTTCAGATGTCGGAAACCGACAGCTAGCATATTTGTTGATCGTCTTCATTCAGATGTCATTGCATTTACAGTTTTACACTGCAGCTACACAAGCCAGTGTCAGTCACATACTCACCAGTTAGTGAGGAGCAGGAACTTAATAGTTTATATAATCTCTTCTGTTTGATATAGTCTTATATGCACAATTGCTACATGATTCAAACACCCTCAAACTCTAAAGCCCAAATTAGAATTTGAAAATGAAGTAAAGCATTATCCATCTGTGAATATGTCAGTGCCTTGCAGTCGGAGCCTGCATGTAACTGATCTGTTCCCGTGTGTCATCTTCTCTGGTGTGTCTAGGTGACAGGAGTGATAGAGGACAGAGAGGGCACAGCCCATTACATTCTGTCAGGAACCTGGGATGACAAGATGGAGAGTGCCAAAATAGTGGACCGCAGCCAAGGATGCGGAGGCTCTGAAGGCAAACAAAAGACAGTTTATCAGACTCTTCAACCCAAACTGTTGTGGAACAAATACCCTCTCCCGTATGTTTATCTTATCTTAACACATTTCTACTTTCAAGATTGAATGTGTCTGAAATGACACATTGAAACACCTTCACCCCTTTGAGCTCTTTCCTCTTTTTTTTTTTTGTCTTTCTCGTTTATCTTTCACTCTTCAGAGATAATGCAGAGAACATGCACTTTTTCTCCTCCTTGGCTCTGACTCTCAACGAGCCAGAAGAGGGTATTGCACCCACCGACAGTCGTCTGCGGCCAGACCAGCGGCTAATGGAGGCGGGTGTGTGGGACGAAGCAAACACTCAGAAGCAGCGTCTGGAGGAGTGTCAGAGGCTGGACAGGAAAAAAAGGGAGGCGCAAGCCAATCAGGCCCTGGAGGAAGGTGAGAACAAGGAAACCCACAAGAACAAGGAGGATTAAAGTCCTCTTTTTGATACTTGACTTGAATGTTTGAGCCTCACTGTGCAGAATGGTGTATGTGCAAAAGCTAAGCTGCACCTTTTAACTGCCAGATTACAGTTCCAGTGTGTATATATCTGAAATCCAGTCATTTGGATTTAGCTTTCCCCTGACAGAGTTCTGACTGTTTTCCTTAAGGAGTACAATAGCTAGAAATAAAGGAGAAACTAAGACTGTGATATTATAGAAAATAGTATACATTCGAGCCATACCTTAAGAAAACATGCCTCTGTGTCATCAGGGCAAGACATCGAGGGTCACCAGCCACTGTGGTTTGAAAAGAGGGCAGATGATACAACAGGAGAAAGTACCTACGTCTACCGGGGCGGCTACTGGGAGGCCAAAGAAAGACAGGACTGGAACCAATGCCCTGAGATCTTCTAGGAAAAAAGTTCCCCTTACACCATGCATCAGACAGACTGAGTCCTCCTAATGTAAGGATACTCTGTGACATATGGACAGTGTGTGTGTGTGTGTGTGTCTGTGTGTGTGTGTGTGTGGAGCTGAATGATATATGCTTTACATATGCTTTACAGAGAAAGGATTTCTGCACCAACACACATATTTCATTGGGTGTGTATGCGGATAACTTAGGGGAAAGGAGGGCCGTGGACGTTTTGGTACAAGCACTGAATGTTCTCCTCGAAGTGGGAACAGCATGTTCCTCATGCTGAGCTCTGACAGAGACACCAGACACTTAAAGGACTGTAGCAGGACTACGCATTCTTCTGCACTTAAAGGCTTTTTCACAGCAGAACTTCATTTAATGATCCACCTGATTTCAGGGATTTTTTTTTACTATATTGCCCAAACTGTATCTTGAAGGATTTACAGTCATTGTCCAGTCTGACTGGCAGCTAGTACTGGAACATGGAAACCAAATTAGATCTCATTCTCTTTGTGTGGACAACTGACTGAATACACCACGCTGTTTTATAGACAACTGCTGCTTCCACATGATCTTGTTTGCATTAAAGGGACACTCCACTATTTACTAGTATGAAGATTACCACAGCCTGTGAAAACGGTTGTGAAGGGTTTTCACAGGCTCTACTCTCAGCTGGAGTTTGAAAAGTTAACCAAGCTGGGAGGGTCTAACTAAAGACACCATTGATTTGTATTATGGGAAATGTAGGATCCAGCATTTTTGGAGCTTCGCCATTACTAAGGACTAAAAGTAAGGATGTCTTGATCTCTGCTGTATCTATTTTGACCGCTGTCTTTTAAATGTGTCTCTCACAAGTCGTCAAACTTAATGTAACAGTAAATCACTGGAGTACCACTTCAAATATCTCAAGACTGAAGACCCACTGAAGTACAAGTCTGCTTAGCCTGGGGGATATATACTTCAGCAAGAAAATATGTTGGTGCTCAATGGTAGGTTTAGCCTTAATTATGTAATGAAGCACTAAATCACGAACCACAACCAATCTCTGAGATTCTGTGCAGGTTATAGAAATCCGGCAAGCTATGTATACGTCAGGGTAATTTATATTTTGTTCCAGTTTTATTCAAATGATCAGGGCTCATCATCTTGATAAGTAGCAACAAACGCAGTTTCCCCTTTTTCCCCGTTTGGATATGTCAGCAATAACATAATTGCACACAATGTCACTTGAGAAGAAAATACTTTTTGCAGCACAAAAAGTATGTTTTGGTGACTGTTCTCCATTAGCTGAATGATAGTTATGTAAAGAAATCAGATTTATACACATCGGTCAAGGACCAGAAAAACAATTAAAGAAGATTACATATGCTGATGTTTTGTGTGTACATTGGTAGTACATTTACATACAATAACGGATATTAACCTACTTATTTATAGTTTTAGCTTGTTGTGTATTATAATAGGGTGGTAATAATTGCCTGGTTGCTTTTCGCCTGTATATAGCAAGAATATAATAGAAATAGAATTGCCTAATGTATAATCACTGTATGAAAATATTGTTTCACATTACTTGAACATTCACATTGTGGGCACTACTTAAACTCTGTCTGTGTGTACATAAGCTTAAATGGAGTCGAGATTGTATTCCTGTTATTGAGATGTTAGGGAAATGAAATTATGAATACCATATGTAATATTGATGATGCAAATAAGGTGTTGTTTGAATAAAGCACAATGTTATGTTTTCCTGCAGGTAATGATACATGCTACATAATCTCAAAGGTTTCCATGGCATCATATAGCTATGCATGGTTTTAGAGTGCTTCAGCACTTCTGTAGTGGAAAGCCTCTTCACCTATAGCTAGTAGTTTGTGGACACTTACTGAAACATGATGTGAACTCACCTTTTGTGCCCAATGAGCTCAGAAATGTTGTATTTTTGAGCTTGAATAAAAACGTAAAGCTCAGACCTGCTGTTGTTTACTGTCAAACCAATGTTGTTCATGTCGTTTAACTCACAAGGGAGAGATGATACAGAAGACGTCCAGAGAAGTCTGCCATGATGCCCCGAGGCCAACAATATATTTATGTTGGGACCACTGCTGTCATAAGTGCAAAATAAACAACAACCAGACAACAGAAATGTCTCATCTGACAATAAATAAATAATATGAAATGCTAATTCAGTTTTAAGACTTGCTAAAGGAAATGTGGACGTCTAAACCTTCCAAAAACTTTAGCTCATGATTGTTCTCTATAACGTTACAACTTATTTTCCAGAACTATATAACATAATAATATATTTGTGGTACCATTAAAACTTCTCAAAGTTCATAACAAAGTCAAAAGCCTAACAAACAGAAAACAGGCTTTAAGAGATGACGCAAAGAACCAGACTGGTTTGGTTCATCTGAGCCTTTGTATTCATTTTTGTTTGATTCATTTATTTTCCTATATGGCAAAATTAAGCTAAGAAAAGGTCAACTTTCTGCATTTATCTGTGTTACATGTGATGATTTAGACTTTTCACCTGAACTCAACTGTGACATAACCCACATCACAACTTTTATGGTGGATGTTTACATTGTTTAAAGCCTGTGCAGGACCACTGTTGAGTTGTATGTGGTGGTGATGTTGCACTGATGTCTCCGATTTGATTAACTGTCTTTTAATTATTTGCATTTCAAACATTAAACCCTGCTGTTGCTGGCTAACGTACTAACTCATCCTGAACACTTCATGTGTTCCGATATGATGACAGGAAAGCAATTCATTATTGCCATTGACTCATTGTGTGGTTCGTGACCATGTGAGGCTCAAACCCTGCCCAGCAGAGAGAGGTTACATTCAGCCTGCACCATGCCCATAGCCCCGCCCACAAATAACGAGTGGCATCGCCCTTGAAATAAACCATCCAATCACACTGAAGCGCGTCCACCGCCTCGGCTCGTCTGACAGTACGGTGACCGGCTCATTCTGTTGTTTTTAGGCTAGCGATGCTGCCAAGGTACGCGTCGGAGAACAAGGTAAAGACGACGACGCGCTGATTGTGAGAACACGCCACTGACCGCAGTGTGACGAACGTTAAGCTAACACCGCGTCACGCGCCAGAGTGACTGTTTGTTAACGTTAGATAACAAACATAACAGTTAGCTTAGGAGAGGAGTCGCTAGCTAACGTTAGCATGACAGCTCGAGCGCAGTACTAAGACGGTGTCACGTGCCAGTCCGTAGCAGAGGTCGGTTAACTTTAACCTTTTTATACTGTCAAAGGAACTGTTGTGCTCATGGTCTCCTGTCTGTCTGCCATAGTCCAGCATATGTCATTAATTTCGCCTGTACGGGGTAAGTTACACAACCAAAATAGAAACACGTGTCTGTGGGCGGTGCTTAAAGAAAATGCAGGTTTTACTGATCAACAAAGACTTGCTATAATAACGCCGCAGAGGAGACGAACAGCTGTGTCGCAGGTTGTTTTCGCGAGGCGTGTCCGGTTTTGATCATGCATTTCAAATGGAGGATGAGAGGCGCGGACTCAACATGTGTTTTCTTTGTAGAGAGGACAATGATACGAACATGATCAACGCCGATGGCTTCTCAAAATGCGAGGCGACTCAGCAAGAGAGAGGCGGGAGGAGGAGGCCACCCGCAGAGATGCTCCATCTGCTGTCAGCTGTTATTGTCTGGCTGGTGACGGGGACCACCATCTCCAGCCTCAACAAATGGATATTTGCCGTTTACAACTTCAGGTACCCTCTGCTGTTGTCGGCGCTGCACATGCTGACCGCCATAGTGGTGGACTATGGGCTGATCAAGCTGCAGGTGATCCGCCACAGAGGGGCCTGGGAACAGGACCTGACCCCCAGCGCAAAATGTAAGGTGTTCCTGTTGAGTCTGACATTTTGTGCCAGTATCGCTTTCGGCAACATGGGTCTGAACTATGTCCAGCTGTCGTTTGCACAAATGATCTACACCACCACCCCGCTCTTTACCTTGGCCATCTCCACACTGATCCTAGGCAAGCAGCATCACATCCTCAAATACACAGCCATGATGCCCATCTGCCTGGGAGCCTCCTTCAGCATCATGGGAGAAGTCCAGTTCGATCAGACCGGTTGCTTCTTTGTGTTTGCAGCGACCATGTTGAGGGGCGTCAAGTCGATTCAGCAGAGTAAGTCACATTTTCTTTTGTCTTTGCTATCAAAAGTAGCCTTTATAAGTTAAATACCCTTTTTTTTTTATTGCTGGAAACTTCATCTCATAGCTCAGACATCAGAGGTTATTTTAGTGTTCCCCCCGTACACCGCAGCAGTCTGTGGTCCTGGAACTTTTTAGTGATTCACTCCTCAGTCCAGTAACACACCCACACATTAAGGTGGAAAGTCACAGTGGCATATTTTCTGGTTTCTTAGGGAACACGATACAAACATTGATTGTTTGAGTAAGAATGGGTGGAGTTTCACATCCTGGAGACACGTTGCTCTGTTGTGGTGTTTTTAAAAGAGTGATCATCTGGTCAGTTTTAGTGAACGTGACCTGGGAAAGAGACTGATTCCTTTCTTGAACTTACGTCAGATGGGCTGAGTACACATGTATCCAATGTCCTCATTATCTAATGTTCTCTGCTCTCAGGGAAGCATTCGTGGAAGGAATTTCTTTAGTTAGTCTCAGTGTCCAGAGGATTAGTTTCTGTAATGTCATTAGTCTCCACAACTTTGTCAGAGACGGGGGGAGAAGATTATGAGATTCTAAAAAATATATACAGTAGAGGCCCTGTATTTAATCGTTGCATAACACTTAAGCAGATATTCGGTTTTTCGTTAGAAGGATGTAACGCTGCATACAGATGGTTACTGGGTCAGGCTTGTGACTATCGGGTCATCGGTTCAAATACTCCAGTAGAGCTGCTCAGTGTAAATACATATACAGACAAGGAAAATTAATTTCTGCGTTTGCATTTGGAGCAGAATTAGTAACGGACGGCCAGCAGGTCGAAGCTGCTGCTCATTACTTTTAATCATGACTAAACATGCGAGTCCATCCTGAGTTGCCAAACTAGTCGAGCGACGTTGTCTCAAGTTTCAACACGCTATTTTCATCGTCTTTCACTTGTTGTTGTTGTTGTAACAGTTTCCCTCATAAGTTCACTTTTCTCTGACGCACTTTGGTAGTGCACATGCTCTTGTCATAGGCCCAGACTCAACGCATTGTTACAGGTTCGGCACTCTATGTGAACACTATGAAGTGTCCAGTGAGTGAACTCTGTTCAAGCTGCCTTAGCTCTTTCTGAAACATGAGAATATTTTATAGCTCCCTAGATGTCAGATATCAAGCCGTGTTCTGTTCAAGTTTCCAAACAGGAGTTTTGCATAATTTTCTGTCAAGAGCTTGTTGTAAACTTTTGAATGAGCAGATACGTGAATAGGATAGAGTCTGTCCTTCTTATTTAGACTAAAAAACACAGGAACATTATGTCACCTGAACAGTCTAATACTGCGTATTTGAGTAGAAACAGGTCTTGTAGTTGCTGAAACGGATGTTTCTTCTAAGTAGGAAGTGCAGTAAAAGAAAAACGAGTTTTGTTCTCGACATCTCTCTTCTTACGGTCATTTTTGTAACCACTGCTTACACTTCTATGCTTACTTGAACTCAAGCTTTACTGAACCTTGTTTTACACATGAGTCATGTCTATGTCAATAAACATAAAGTCATGTTTGTAACCATCGCATACCGTTCTGTTTCCTCAGGCATCTTACTCCAGGAGGAGAAAATCAATTCCGTGTTCCTGCTCTACCTGATGTCCATTCCTAGCTTCTGCATCCTGGCCGTGTCGGCTCTGGCCTTAGAGAACTGGGCTCTGCTGGAGTCGCCGTTTCACTACGACCGCCACCTGTGGGTCTTCATCCTGCTCAGCTGCCTGGGCTCCGTCATGTACAACCTGGCCAGCTGCTGCGTCATCACGCTCACCTCCGCCGTCACTCTGCACATCCTCGGCAACCTGAGCGTGGTGGGGAACCTGCTGCTGTCTCAGCTGCTCTTTGGCACCGAGCTGTCCCCCCTCAGCTGCGCCGGCGCCGTGCTGACGTTGTCCGGCATGCTCATCTATCAGAACTCCGAGTTCATCGTCAGCTTCCTGGACGCGCGCAGGGCCAAAGCGGAGAAGTCTGGACGGGTGGACAAAGCTAGTGCATCCGAACCGACGTGTCATCAGCAGCCGGGAACGTGCGAGAAACAGGAAGACAAGATGGACTGAACGGAGAAGATGAAGGAGAGGATACAACTTTGAAAGATAAAGTGATTAAAATCCTGGCTATGTGAGGGTGAGTGACTTTTTAAGGCCGTCATCAGTGATGATGTGACAGTTTTTATTTCTCCACAGAAGTGGAGTCCGCGGAGAGCTAAAGGTAGCCTTTATATGTCAGGATGATGGATAACTTCTCTCCTTCATCTGTAAATCACTCATCCATAGCCTTTAGCGGTATACGCATGCGTGAGCACACTAAACTGTTTGATACCTCACAAGGTATTCACACTGTCACTCATACTACACTGTGAAAACGTTCTCATCGGCAGAGGGCTCTAAAGTGTGACGTTAAAGGCTTAGAGAGACCTCCGCCTCAAATCTGAATGGGCACAATTTGTATGAAAAGTATTTATTAATGGCACTGTTACCTGACATTCACCTGGTCATGGTAAGGGACTGGGTTTTTGGCAGCTTTTTTTTTTTTTTTTTTTTTTTTTTTTTTTTTTTCATTTGAACCACGAAGCTTGTTTAAAAAAAGGACGCTTAAACTTTTTCGAGGCAGAATTTAACAAGGAGATTTTGTCTTTTCCTCCACTGGAGCACATTTTTAAATCTGTGTATTTTGTCCTCCCTCTATGAACCTCAGTGTGACTTCCCACTTAAGGCTTAGATTTTGTTCTCGGGCAACTCCCTGGAGAATTACTCCAATTATTTTCAATCTTTTACAACAGCTCTCCTCGATAATTAGGTTCACGAGTGCTCTAAGGAGTGTCACGCAGCTATAGCGGTCTGTTCCCTGTGGAAGAGAAGAGGAAGGAGAGGATGTCCTTTAAGGTTGCTTCTTAAATCCCAGCCAATGTCAGCGGGTTAGGTTCATTGTTTTAAGTTGAAAAACTGCCCCCTGCTGGACAATGTTCTCAGTATTTGAAAAACATTTTATTAATATGATTTTTGTTATTTTTTTGGTGACAAAACACATTCTATTCCTTAAAAAAAAAAAAAAAAAAAAAAAAATATTTATGTGGAAGAAAATACTTATTTTTGAACGACTTCAGCAGTCACTGGCTTTGTTATGCTGTAGCTTCTGGTCCTCGTGTCTTGTACATGCATACATGTAATATTAGTACACACTAGTCTCTCTTTTCAGAGGAAAGTCATAAATACTATGCAGAAGGCTGCATGTCGCTGCTCCTGAAAGCATCTTACATCATCCAGGATGTCTGTTACTGTGCACTCCCGCCTACATTCACGGTTTGCCAAACGTCTTTTGAAAGCTTTTTTTTTTTTTTTTTTTTTTTTTTTTTTTTTTTTTTTTTTTTTTTTGGTCACACTGTGTCGAAATACTGACTTGATCACTTCTCACATACAGTTGAGCTCTCACAAGACAACAACAATAACAACGCCATACGTCAACGTTTTTTTTTTTTTTTTATGACACTTGCCACAATTTCCATAAGAATAACTACAAGTAGGATTGTACGCTGAAAGATTTCAGTTGACGTATAACTGATCATTTATAAAATATTCTCCAAAGCATCATAAATAACCTCAAGGTGCTTTTCGGTCATTAAAAATAGTGCGAGAAAGATATGAAACGGTTTTAGGTTGCAGTTTGATAAATGTTTAATAATTCTCAATTACAGGTTTAAAGATTATGTACAGCAGATCGCTTCACTCGTTTTACAATATTGAATACCTCAGCTGTTAAATGGGACTTGTTAGGGTAAAGTTGCCCTTTTGTTGGTTTATTATGAACTATTGGACTGAGATCAAGCAGCCTTTCAGTAACCACAATGAAACCGCAGCATGGGAACGATGGATTTCTCTCTGTGTTCAGTGGGTCAATGTATTTTAAAACACATTATTGATCATTATGGTAATGATCAGAAGATTTCAGTTCGGTCTCATTCGAACGATCTCCAGCTGGTGGAAGTTTGGCTGCTTGTTCTCGTGGGTCACATGTCGATTGTGAGTGTGGGGCGAACAAAACTGTTGCACTTAAAAGGTACGAAGAGGCTTCGTACGGACTGGTTTTAATTGTTTGCAAAGCTAGTTTGGTGTAAATAGATGTTTTATGATAATAATGTATTTTATAGTCTTATGTGGCTGGTTTAAACTATACTGATTTAAGAATGAAACATTTGCCTCATGCCTTATTTGGACATACTGTAGATAACAACGGAGTGATTTTATTTCTCATTTTATCAGATTTTTTTGATTCATACTTTGAATGCCAACAGCAGGTGCAGGTGCTTCTTTTTAGGGGCAAATATATGAGTGATTCATGTACACAGGATCTGCAATTGCTTGAATAAAAATAACAATGGACAAGTACATGTTTTGGGTGTTTTTCTGATGCTATAAAAGGCTATTTTTACCTCTTTTTATGTTTTTAACTTAATTGTTAACATTTTCAGTGCACATGTAAAACTACTCCATAACATTTGGGAATATACAACACATTGTGATGGTGAAAACCATACAGACAAAGTTGCCTTCAGGGCTGCAACTAAAGTTTATTTTCATTATCGACAAATCTGTAGATTATGATAAAGAATTTATTCTGTAGAAAAAGAAGGCTTCCATTGAAAGTTCACAGTTAGACTTTAAATTGCCGTTTCTTCTAAACAATTTTTTGAAATTATGTAAATCAGCAAATCCTTATGTTGGAAAGTTTGAACTAGTTAAATGTTTTATCTTTTTTCTTCACAAAACACCGTCAATCTACTAATCAATGAATCCACTAATGGAGTCAGCCATTCCCTCCAGAAACAAAGACGGGTCTTACTTTGGCCTGTAAAAGTCCATGTTGTCATACATTGAGGCTATTTAGATGTAGTTGTGAGTGTTCACCACTTGGTGGAGCAGTTTGTCTGCTTTCTGATTTGTTAGATGTTCCCTAAATCTGCCTTAACTATTAAACATAAACAATCATTGTAGAAGCTGAAGAGTGTGTTTTGCCAATGGTGTTTTCTTCCAGATGTGTGTGTGTCTGTGCGCTCTGTTCTCTTCTAAAGATTCCTCTTCTTCTGTAAACACCGTGCTACTGGTCAGCCTTTTGCCTGAATAAGGCAGTGCTCCTCATTCTCCCCCCCCATTTACAGA